ATAAATCAAGATCTCACAATGTCACTTGAGATCTAGCTTAACACCATTGGCGGCTGGTGGAGATATTTGTAGGCTGGGCTAACAAATATCTAATACACTGCCTGGCCAAAATAAAAGTGGCCACCTGGATTTAACTAAGCAAACAGGTACAAACCTCCTGTTGGATATTTACTGCATGGGCAATTATCTTTCAGCTGGCAACATGTTATTTAACCCCAACTGGTGCAATGAGCTGCTTCTCATTTCTTAAACAACCATGTTGAAAGGCACATCCTGTGGTCATGGAAAATATGTTTGAGAAGGTTTAAATCATTGGCATCATCAGAGAAAACATCCAAGGAGATAGCAGAAACTTCTAACATTGGGTTAGGAACTGTCAAACACTTTATTAAAAACTGGAAGGATAGTGGGGACCCATCGTCTTGGAGGATTTTCAAACCTGTGGGGGCGGGGCAATGATCTGAGGTTGCTGCAGTTATTCAGGTCTAGGAAGCGTATCCAAACAATGCCACAGCGAATGTGTGCCGTAATCAAAGCTAAAGGCACTGTGACTTTTTTTTGGCCAGGCAGTTTATATAGATTTATAATAAGACACTACAAAAAATAAAACCATAAATTGAAATTATGTTCCTTTTGAGCACAAAGACCAAGCTTACACAGGTCCTCTATCAGTTCAGTATTTAATTCTCCTGCATTAAGGCTTTCAACTGTAATTTCATGCACAAAAGAGATTTGTTAGCCACAGTTGCTGTTAACCGTTAACGTCCTTTTGCTGGAACCAGGTCACAGAAAAACTTTTGCTGCTTTTCCTTTTTGCCGAATTTGAATATCCTTTGGTTTATCGGCCCCCTACTTCTTCACTTCCAGTTTTTCCTCCAAAGACATGAAGGAAAACTGGTGAGAAATTAAATAATCCACCTCATTTATGGTAATCTTGCTCGTCGTCATGCTCAGTCGATGGCAAACCACACCTACATACACTCGAGCTTGAGGCACGTTAATCATCGATCAAATCATGAAATTTTAATAATTTTGTAGGGGTATTAAATGCTAGAATTCTAAAATGGATAATTTGTGAATTATTTAAAACACAAAATTATCTGTTTTTCGAGGCACCACTAAAGTTTTTATAGTAAAACTTGAGAAAAACTTTCTTTTAATATTCAGTCTCTAAATATGAAGGCGTTTAATTCTTCCAGTTTAATGACGGCGTGAGACAAGGAAATACAGGTGAAGACAACTCACGTTTGGAAATTCATCCGTGATCCGTGTATTATTTAAAATGAGGTTCAGAGGGAAATATATGCATTACAAATCATTTCTCAGACAAAAACACACTTTATAATCAGTTCCGTAAACTTAACCAAGAAGTGATGTAATTAATCTGGCATGATTACCATGTGAATGACTTCCTAAACATATTTCAGTGGGACACTACTCGCTATTTCTAAGCCTACCGCTAAAGGGAGCTCAGGGGAAGAAGAATGAACATTGATTAAACTCTGATCTGATTTAAATCTTTGAACACACYATCAGATTAATTGAGCAAGATGTTTCCTACCGGCAAAGTTGTAGACGCCAGAATGGATACTTCTAGGCTAATTGGGTGGCATGTGAAATCCAACCGAGTCTTAACTGTGTTGTGTAGAAGTTCCCTGGTCATCTGGTTTGCCGGCTGCATTCACTGGATATGTTGTCCAGCACCGTGGCTGCGTTCCTTGTGAGCACACTGAGGTCGTCCGAATTGAATTAAATCAGCCTCATCGTTTTCAATCAATGTAAATCTCCTTCCTGGAAGCTCCTTAAGATTAAACTATAAAAAATAAAAATAAAAAGTGGAAAAGAATGACCTCACCCCGAGATGGGGGAAGCTGGAGCTAAAAAAAACTACTGCTTTCTCCTCAAAACACTTCTTCAGAACTGTCTACACGGCAAAACAATGAAATACTCCCTGTTCACAACAGAACTTCTCATTGGTTAAAACTTTCTGCTTTGGTCACATGGCCCATCCAGACATGTAACAGAAGGACAGTGATAGTTAATCAAAACCAGATCAAGTTACTTAAACAATGTCATGATTATTACAGTAATTGAATCAGAGTACCAAGGTATTATTTTGACACTTCACAGATGTTTTTATAGTTATAAATGGAAAACATGGGTAAAAAAATAAAATATTTTCAGGGTTAGTAGATAAAATGTCCACAGGGGCGTTGCTGACCCACAGATAAATCTGATGGGAGTCTTTTGATGTCAAACAATGTTTATTCCAGCCTTATCCTGAAAGAGGTGATAAACCAATTAACTGGCGACAGGAAGTCTAGCCTTTGTTCTAAGGCCTAAGGGTGAAGAATCAGATGAATTAACAGGAGTCCTTATTCAAACTCTTGAGATGTTGCAAGCAGGATGACAAAGGTGGAGTTAACAGGACTGTCTCTTGAGAAGATATTCACGTTTCCACTACAATTTCAAGATGAAATATATTTGTTGGGTGACCATAACACTTTCTAATCATTCTTACAGCTCTTTTTTGTAAAATAAAAAAGGATTTGTAATTGTCTTGCATGCTTTTCCCCAAAAGTCAATACAGTAAATTAAATGCGGAACAATCATTACATTATACAATATATAAAGAGCTTTATCATTCAATAACTCTTTTATTTTATACAGCAATGTAACAGAGTTTGCTATTTTTGTTCTTAAGTAATTTATGAGATGATAGCTTTTCATCCATCACAACACCCGAAAACGTAATTGGGAAAGTCAATGGAAACGGTTTAAAATAATTATTTATTTTTCACTAAATGTTTCTGTCATGGCAGCACGGTGGCTCAGTTGGTAGAGCTGATGCCTCTCAGCAAGGTCACCGGTTCAAATCCCAGTTCGGGGACCTTTCTGGGTGGAGTTTGCATGTTCTCTCCGTGCATGCGTGGGTTCTCTCCGGGTACTCCGGCTTCCTCCCACAGACCAAAAACATGACTGTTAGGTTAATTGATAACTCTAAATTGTCCCTAGGTGTGAGTGAGAGAGTGAATGGTTGTTTGTCTCGTTTGTCTCTATGTGCGGCCCTGTGATGGACTTGCGACCTGTCCAGTGTGTACCCCGCCCCTCGCACTGTGACTGCTGGATATGGGCACCAGTGACCCACGCGACCCTGAAAAGGAAGAAGCGTGTACAGAAAATGGATGGATGGATGGATGTTTCTGTCACCATACATGCTGCTCATTCAAAAATCCCTGACACTGACTGGAGCATTCATACACTTGACAATTCCACCAGATTGTTTTTGTATTGTTTGTCATGAAAGCCTGAACATGTTGGAGGCATAGTACCAAACTGGGACTTTTTGGGAGAGAATTTTCCAGTCGTACTCTAACATTTTGTGCAGAGTTGCTGCTGTCTGTTGCAATCAAGCAATTTATCAATTATTCAAATATTATTCACCATTATTCCCCACAAAGAAAGACCGAATAATACTGTAGCTGAATGAACTAGAAATCAGCCTATCTCAAGCTTAAAAAATGCATAGTGTTATAATCAGGACAGCACTCTCCTCCTTTAGTGTGGCACACCGTGGGACATTGAAATATGCAGATGAAATCATTATTTCAACAAAGCTGCTACTGATGAGAGCAGTTCTGTGTGGATTAACAAGGAGGAGGGCAGAGTTTTCCCTCGTCCTCCCAGTTGTTCTTAATTAAGTCTTTGGAGGTAAGGGCAGCTTTACAACCCATCACAAATGCAGCAAAAACACACCTTTTCTTCCTCCGTGTCGTTATTTAACAACTCTGCTTTCTGTCAGGCACCAGGCGCCCTTATCACCTGCACAGTTTCCATAATGCAGCTTGTACATTTATAACAAACAAAACTGTTTGAAAATGTATCGGTGAACTTTAAAAAAAAGCAGCACATGAAAAGGTCAACGGCAGCGAAGTTGGAGCGATAAGGTTTTTGCTTGTGTCTGTGTTGTTAGCAAAATATCTCATGAATCAATGAACAGATCTTTATCGAACTTTCAGCGATGTAAGCAAACATGTTGAGTTAAAATCTGCTGTGGAAAAAGGCTGAGACAGACCCACAACCTTGGCTGTGTCAAAATTCAGGGGTTGGGTCCTTCCAAGGACTCGGCCTATCCGGTCTAGGTGGACCGAATCCTTGGTTGACCGCGAAGACCGGAAAAAAGTAGCTGGGACTTTGGATAGTCTAGCCTTCTGCTTTATTCCCACCCTTACCCCGGCGTATGTCCTGTCACCTAGCAATCGTGACGAGGCTAAACAAAAGCAAAAATAGATCTAAATTAGCAAAATATCAATATATTTATATTATCAATATCATAAAACAACTAATTTAGCTTAAAGGCAATGTTTGAAGAAATAATGGACCCGCCCCCCACAAGACATTATGGGAAAAGGTGGGCCGAGAAGGATCCATCAAATCGGGGCAAAAGGAGGACGCATTTGTCGGCTGCATCAGAGGAATCTTTTGAATTTGGACAGCGTTTAGCACGGCACTGTGACGTAAGCCAGAGGTTCTCAAGCTTGGGTCTGGGAGCCGTATCTTGGGGGGTCCTCAAAAAAATTCAATAAATTGTTAATTTGTTTATTATTTTAAATATGGAGATCAATGCACTAGTCAAACAAACATACTAAACCAAACCAAAAATAAGATTCCCATGGTATTTAGGGGTTAAAATGATGGTAAATTGTTTTTAAAACAGCCTTAGGTTTATTAGGGGGTCCCTGCTAGTAATTTTTCCTCCTTGCAAGGGGTTTGAGAACCCCTGACGTAAGGGGCCGACAAATTTAGCCTTCGGAGGACGCAGCCTCTGAATTTGGACACAGTCCCATACAACTGATGACGTTTTGGAGTCAGTCCAATTTAAGACGATCCAACAGCTGATTGAAATAAAAAGTAGAAAATTGTTGAACAATTTTAAAATATGGGGTTTAGTGTGTTGATGACCCCTGATTAGTTCGTTTGTCTCTGTCTCTGTCTCCTAGTTTGTGCCGTTCAGAGACTACATAGACAGATCTGGAAACCAGGTCCTCAGCATGGCTCGACTGGCTAAAGACGTCCTCGCCGAAATTCCAGACCAGCTGCTGTCGTTTATGAAGGGCAGAGGGATCGAACCACGACCATCCATGTCCTCCTCCCCTCTACCGGCGCTGCACCGGCACATCTGACCCCTGATATGTCCTCTGTCTCTTCACCCTGTCTTTATCTCTCTCTCTCTTTCTCCTAAACAAATCTTTACTCAGCTCACTCCCACTTATTTGACACTTTAAAAGAAAACAAAAAGACGGACCCGCTGCTTGTTGCTCTCTTATCACCGGTGAGGTTAAACAGACACAAATCATCCCCCCAGCAGGCGCTCCTCTCTGACTCGCCTGCTGCTGCTGTAACTCATCTTCTCCTCGTGCTGTTATCGCTTTTTTGGAGACTGTACAAACGGACGGTGAGGATGACCCATGACCCCACCCCCTGCGAGCTGACATTTAAACGTGTCAAGCTGACTTTTTTTTACGGTATCTCTCTGCTAATTCTCCCTCAACAAGGTTCAGCCAGACATGTTTTAAAACAAAAAGTCTATTCAATTACCCTCAGCTAGTTTTGACATTATCACAATTTGTCTACTTACAGACATGGATAAATATGTTGGTACCCATACAGTTCATTAAAACCATGCTTCATATCCAGTGACAAGTGATGCGGTTAATGGTTTGTCTAATCTGTAAGCTTTTAGTGTGAGAGAGTAAACAAAACATTGTGAAAAGCTGTGCTCTGTTAATACAGGCAGTGTTTATCCCCCCTTAAGGAAACCATAGTTCCTTGGATCATAATCATGGTTTTAAACTAAGTGTTTGACCTTAGTATCACAGGTGCCTTCAAGCTTTTCATCAGCTGTTTAGTCTATTTAAAGAGAACCAAGGTGCCACTGGGTAGTTTGGTAGCAGTTAAATTATAGGTAATGGTGTCTGAGGAGCTCAGAGAAGATTACAGATACTCATGTTACAGGTTACGGCAACAAGATCATCTGCAAGCAGCTTTATGTTTCTCTGACCACAGCATCCTTTCTCTGGGACTGTAGCCAATCTGTTAGAACCAGGATGCAAGAGGAAATGTAACCCCAGGTTGATCAGCTAGATTGTGTAGATGGTAGAAGGAAAATGAAACAAAAAATTTATCAAGGTATTCATAAAAAAACTAGACACCGCATAGCGGTAACATAATGACCCCCGCACGCAGAAATGCACCAGAACTCAGAAGTCTTTATTCCTAATAAATGTCATGCTATAGGAGCATCCCAAAATTGTAGTGGTTTGGATGGGGATCTTTTTTTTGGGTGGGGGGGGGCATTGGTTGACCTGATGGATAGCCCCTCATCAGAGCTAAACAACAAAAGAAATCTGAAGCTCCTATGTTTAACAGTTTTTGAGCAATAACCCTTTTTGTAAGTCCAGGCACCCCTTTTTCAGAGAAACTGGACGGGTGGGGGGGGCACTGATTGGTGGGCCTGATAGATAGAGCTTCATCAGAGCTAAACAACAAAAGAAATCAGAAGCTTCTATGTTGAACACTTTCTGAGTTGTAAGCAATTTTGCATGTCCTGACACCCCCACTTTGAAAGGAGCCCCCTCCTCAAATATGGGGTCTATCGTGAAACCATTGGCTGGCGCAGTGTAGGTCAGACTCTTCTACAGTCCTGCCAAATTTCATATTGATCGGTGCAGTTGTTTTTGTGCTAGGTTGACCAAAAATCTCCGGAGGAAAAAAGAAAGTACGAAAACAGCATGACTCCCGCTTACGCTTCGCGTGCGGGGGTCATAATAAATAACTTTTGGTCCAAGTACAGAACCTTGAGGAACTCCACATGTGATATTATGGTGCGTTCACACCGAACGCGATTTCAGCTTCAAAATCGCAGCCAACGCTGAAGTTTGAAGCTTGTGCACTTTGAGGTCAGACGCAGGTCAGCTCTTGAAGCGCTGCACGGGAAGAGCCTCCCCACCCCTCCCTCCTCTGTCGGGCTCTGTTTAATGTCGGACGAGGAAGTGGCTTTGCTTTATTTACAGAGAGCAAGAGCATGTCACGTTCATCAGATAATTAATTCATAATTAATTCACCAGATAATTCAGAGAAGAGGCTCACAGCTCGTTTTCAGGACTATTTTTTTCAGTCTGATGAGTCGCTGTCACGCATTGCTGCGGATCAGGACACGACTGCAGGCACTCATTTTAGCTAAAGAGCAGGAGCTCCGTCTGTTTCAGGTTAGTGGACATCATTCAGTAAACTGTCCCGTCAGGAAATATGTCGCTACGTCACACAGTGGAGTCTCTCTGATTGGTTGACGCTGCGCGTCGAGCTTCAAAAGTTCAGATTTTCTAACTTCAGCGATTTGGACGATTTGGACGATCTGAGCGTTCGACGCTCAGATCGTCCAAATCGTCCAAATCGCGCTGCTCTAATCGCGCTTGAGGCGCCGCAGAACTTCCCGACGTTGCTTGAAGCACGTCCACCATAGACTTTGCGTGTAAACCTGCTGCTCCTGACGCTGAAATCGCGTTCGGTGTGAACGCACCATTACAGTTAAGCTCTTACATCACTTATTTGTACAAATCTCCTTAATGAAATTATATATTTACTTATAAATAGGCATCGTAAATCCATTAGTACTCAGTCTGATTAGATTTAGGCATGAACAGGTCAAAGGTCAAGGTCATTTATGATGATTAGTAATATAAAACGGGCATTTTTTTCTAATTCCCCAACACTACAAATAAAATGCCTGGTTAAACAATGTGGTAAATATCAAAAGGAAGTCATGTTTAGACATTGTACATAGAGTTACATACTTCTTTGAATAATTAAGTCCAAAAATAGAGGTAAAAAGGTAATTGCACGTCCAGTGCTTTCAACACAGGTGACACTAGGGCAGGCGGAGGCATCGAGTTCTATTGTATCTTGTTAGATATAAAATATAAAATGTCTAGTCTCATTAGTTGAGTCTTGTTTTTTTTCCCCCCATTATTGAGAAATGGTACCAACAGATTTATTCACTTCTGTAGGCGCCGAATCTTCAGACTCAATGAAATACATACTTCTAGTTTTACACAGTTTTAAACTTAATTAACCTTATTCTCCCAAATAAATCTTTTTTTTAAATACTCATTGCAGTGTCATGAAGACTGGTCAAAAACCTGCACAAAGTCAGGAACAAATTCCACACTTTTTAGTCTCGTATTGATGGTTGATGTGTCCTCGTAAAAATAAAAAATAAAACAATTTGTGAGCTAAATTTGTGCATGGCTGTCAACTACCACGTGTTTCTTTACCTGTGAAAACAGCCAGAATGACTGAAAATACAGTTTGTGTTTACGGTTAGATGTGTTGACTGAGGCGTGTAAGACAAAAGCGCTTTGTTTAAGTTAAGCGTGGACCTGCATTTCAGAACTGAATAACAATATTTCGGAGAAATTACTGGATTTAAATCATTCAAAATGCACCGTTTGATTTAGTTCAGACAAACCTTGTTTTTTTATGTTGATTTCATAGTTTGTAATGAGCACCTTTAAACCCATCCACAGTTCTTCTTTTAAAGGTAACAAACAGATGTGGAGCATCAGGTCACGTTGTCAGATCAGTGCTAGACACACACACACACACACACACACACACACACACACACACACCTTCATCTTCCTCATCCTCCCGTTAAAGGACCTCCATGTGATCGATAATTTCAGTCCCACTCAGTATTTTAGTTCTGGATCAGTTCTGGTGGACNCCCCCCCCCCCGCTGTTAGAGAAATGCCAGTGTCTCCAGCTGCCCTGCAGAGAGGAGGAGGGAGGAAGGGAGGGAGGGCGTGAAAGGAAAGAAACGAGGGGCAGGGGCAAGAGAGTGGAGGAAAGAGACAGGGAAGAAGATTTGCTTTGTTTGATGCCAAAGGAGGGGCATCAGAGGAAACAGGTGGCAGCGTAGCTACGGTCACACATCAGTGCTGTTGGTAGGTTAGTTTGAGAAGTCTGTGTTTTGCATATTTTTGGTGTAAATGAACCTTAACGAGGGGATTAATGCACATTCTATGAAAAGCAATATAACTGACTCCCAGTGTAACGTTAGCCCTATGCATGTACCGTCCTCTCCCCTGCCATTACCTGACAGGTTTACCTCCAGTCCCAGCTGGAGCCGCCTGTAAAGTAGGAAGAGGCTGCCACCTTGTGTTCACCCTTTGTATAACTGGGTATATTTATTATGCATGACTACTGTGCTTTCCTATACTCTCTCAAACGGTACATGTGCATGACCACATTCAGGAAAAAAAAATAATTATTCCAACAGAGGATGATTTAAGGCAAAGAAGTGCGTAGCACTAAGAGGACCTAGAAACCTTTTCTGTGAAAATGTGTTGCCTTTTTTTAAGTTCAAGTGTTTTATGTGCTGTGTATTGACTTTTTCTGAACTTGTTTCCTCGTATGTATTTATTTATTTATTTATTTATTTATTTATTTATTTATTTTGCATGTTGAAAAATCAGTCCCTTGCAGTGTTACAGTAGATGCCACCCCCACCTTAAAAAAAAGAGATAAACATAAATCTCAATATGCATTTATTTATTTTTTCTCTCCATCACTGTAAATGTTCATTTGTGGATCAGAACCTTGTCTGCTCTGTGACTTTGCAGAATCCTGTAAACCGATATGTATTTTTGATATTTTGAACAAGTGATAAAATTGAAAAATGTAGACACTAACTGAATCAGAGAGATGTCTGCGGATGCTTAAAGCCCTGCTGTGGTTTTCTGTCCAACTTTTAACTGTATAAACATTAAAAAAAGATGAAGATGTATATTATATGGTTGTAAATACATAACATTGTGTGCTAAAACAAAGTGTCTTTCTCACTCATTTGCTCATACTAGAGATTGAAAAGCAGTTTACATTGATGTTTCTAATAACATCTTTATTAAATGTCCAGGTTTTTAAGAATGTCCAATAAGAATGTAGAAATGAGAAAAAAAACAGCTGTTTTCACAAATATCTTGCTGTGTTTTGATGAGGTTAATATTCATGTGTGTGCTGGTTTTTCCCTAAAGTAGATGAAGTTATCACACAAACTGACTCACAGCCCCGAACATTTCATCACCATCCTCTGTATCTGTTTGATCTTTTGTTGAAAATAACTACAGACAGTGAGCTGTGATATCTAGAAGTGTTTACACCAAATGTATCAGTTTCATATGTTTTTTTTAATGAAAAATTTCAGCATTTTATCCGTCCGTCCCTGCAAGACCAACGATGCTGTTAGAAAAAAAAATTGCACCATCTGTCGTTGTAACAGTTCTATAGCAAAGCAGGAATAAAATGTTTCTCTGCAGGCAGAGGTGCCACTCTTTTGTAACATTTTTTTTCTTTACTTTAATGCTATGTTTACATGTTTTTAATTTTCTTTGTGGAAAAAAATAGTGTCTATTGATTTAAACTGTATCAGTTGGCAGCCTTTAGGCTGAAAATTCATATTTTGAAAAAATACCCATGAAAAATAATGGACACTGGATAACTGACATTATCCGCAGATGCAACATGACTGCGAATTGCTGAATGACTTGGAAAACATTTGCTGAAGAAGCTGAATTATCAAAAGTAAAACAACCAGAACAAAAGCTAAAATTAGTTCAGCAAAAGCTAAAATCATCAAAACTGTTAAAAGCTAAAAATAAAGTAAACATGCTGATGTAAAAATAACATAGTTCATTAAGGATTTTAAGAGTTTTTTTGTTTTATTTCCATAAGGAAAAAATGTAAATAACAGTGAATATTTAAAAATATATAACCCCGGATTTACACTACATGCGTCTCCGCTCCGCTGCGCTGCGGTGCGCAGGTCGCAGCTGTTCGTTAAGTCATAATGATACTGTCCTGAACTAGCTGAATGTTTTGGCAAATCAATAGTTAAAATAAAAGATTTATGCTGAAGTAATTTCGAGTAAAAATAAATGACCTGCAAAAATTAAAAGCAGGCAAAAGATGTTTGATACTGATAAAACTCAGGCTGGTATCGGCCATACCGATACTTTGTGCAGACATACATAATATGTCTGGTAAATCTAAAAATGTAAAGTTTTTCAAATAACCTCTTCAATAATACAAGACAGAGTAAATTATTTATT